GTCAATACTAAATTCTTTGTAAATTCTTGCCCAACTAAGGGCCTCCTTGTAATTATTCAAATATATCTAATAAAACAGTGTTAGGGGGGTTGAGAGAGCAAGAGTTCAAAACCCTCTTCTCAGACCCTCATTGCCGAACCCTCAACTCTCTTCTCTTCAGTTTTCTTCACAAACAAATCATGAAATCATGAACACGCAATTTCATGTAAAATACAAGGATTTAGGCCTTGTCCTTTTGTGATCAGAGGTCTTTGTGACGCTAGCAATGGCCTCTTTCTTGTTTAAATCTCAACTTTTATGATGGCTTTTTTTTATTAGATATGTTTTTCTTTTTCTTTAGAAAAAAAAAAAAGAAACCAGATTTGGCTTTCTCAGAATCAAGGTTCAAAATATTAATACGCCCGATATGCTGGTATAGGCGTATCGAGCAAATCAATACTCCTTTTGGTGGGTTTTTTTTTTTTTTCGTCAACTGATTCAGGGGAGATGGTTTAGGTCTTCGCCACACCCTGAACCAGTCATAAAGTGGCATGCATGTCTACATGGGTGGGGGGTTGTATGGTTATAATTTGATTTTCATAGCATAAATCTCGAAATGTTAGCATTTGCCATCATCCTTCTATGCTCTTGAGAAATTTGGCAAAGTTTTGAGAAATCAATGAGTAGATGGTTAACGATATTTTCACCAATTCCCTTTGATTTAAGGAAACATAGGATCAATGATATATGTTATTGGGTGTAATAATAGTGCGCAATGATACATGTTTATAACAAGGGGAAGCAGCATTTTTTTGGGGGGTAGAACGTAGAACCATAAAAGACGCTTATGGGGAAGACTGTAAAAAGTATTTGGAGAATTGGAGCTTTAGTTTTACTTTTTCTTTTTCTACATTGCATCTTGTATTGCCACTAAAACTAAAAGAATTCTTCCTGTAAAAGAATGGAAAGGATTTAACCCTTTACAAGCATTGAAAGGTTGGTGACACTAAGACCGTCAAACAGAGCATGCGTGATTTATGGGTTGTTTTACAAGAAGTGAAAAAGATGCTTTGAGCTTCAAAAATTTGTAATCTTTTTTTTTAATTTATTGTGCTTTGAGGTTCTATTTAACCAGTTACGACAAATTAAGTCATAAGGGTGAATGTTGAATCTTCATTTCATAATTGAATGCTAGATACATTGAACATAAAAAACTATAAGGTCTATGTCGAAGCCATGAGGAAGAGCGGAGCTCAGGTCTGGTCCAGGTGTAATTAAATTGCATGCAGTAGTAGTAGTACGCCATGAGCTTGACAATTAAATTTTCCATTATTATAATGCAATGAAGCTGGAGAGTGGACAAAGCGCTTTCACATCAAATTAAATATGAATAAGTGGGCCCGTAGTCCTTCTATTCTACTTGGACCCATGAGTAGTAACACATCAAATCTGRTACTCGGGCCCATGACACAGATGTCTCTTCCACGAGAACCACGAGTGAAGAGAGCGAATAGAACGTTTGGTTGTAGCAGCTATTGGTTTTGGTTCTGGTTCTGTCCCTTTCAAGCGAGCATCTCAAGCTGGTGTCACCACATACTAAAACAGTGTCCATGTGAATGGGGAATCTTATGACAATTTCATTTTTTCTGTTTGGACTTGTTTCAAAGGGGAGAGGTGGGTGGGGTTTGGTTGGAGCGTGAGAGGTGAGGATGGTAGGCAGGGCGTGATGGAGATGGAGGAATATCAAGTTTTCTCTTTTACAGGCAACAACGTTAAAATTCCTTCAGAAAGTTTGAGATTTTGGTCATTTATTTTTCACAGATTTTAGAATTATTATTAAAATATAACATAATAATAAATAAAATATGCTCTAAAAACATTAAAAGAAAATAACTAACTAGAATTTACCGAAAAGTTTCCAAATTGTTAAAAAGATATTAGGGGTTGGACCTTGTCAGCCCTTTTGCGAGAGACAAGTACGAAAATTGAGATGAATCTCAAGAAGGTTAAGGTCCTCCCCTCTTCTTGCAAATCCAAAATACGTGGCAATGAGTTGAGTTCTTTACGAGTTATTTGAGTTTGGCTTGTAAAAAGCTTGGTTCGATTCGGTTTCAACCGAGCTTCGAGCTGAGTTCGAGCCCAATTCATAGTCTTGATTAAGAAACGAGCCAAGTTCAAGTCTAATAGAGCTCGGCTCGTGAGCTGGTTCAAATAATATATAATAAAAATATTATAATTCTTAATTTTTTAAATATCAAATAAAAAATATTTTATATATAATTTTTTATTTTTATAAAACATTTTTTCTCAAAATCGAGCTCGAGCCAAGCCAACCTCGAGCTTATGAGTTTTTGACTCTAGTCGAGCTCAAGCTCGAGCTCGAGCCTTGTAGAACAATCTCAAACCAAGTTCGAACTTGAATCCACCCGTGAGTACAAGTCATGTGTAGCTTAACTGTTAGGCAAATAATGATCGAGTAACTAACTTTGGGTTTCATGGTAACTCAATTTTTTCATGAGACCCAAACCGTTCTTTTATAAATAAAATTGGTCAGTTATTTAATTTATCTAAATAAAATTCATAATCAAAAGATCATGGATAAATGATTTATCAAAAACAAACAGGACCTTGATAGCAAATTGTGTAAAAGCTAATTGCGAACTTACGGTGTCTCCTAATCAGTTCGTAGGATATTTCAAAACTTTTAGGTCTTGTTCGCTTTTCGGTAAGTTATTTACCCAAGTAAATGCAGTTACCTGGGTAAGTTATTTACCCAAGTAAATAAGGCAATAACCATTTTAGCCATAAAAATCCATTATTAAAAGGGGCATATTTGTCCCATTCAAGTGTTGGCAACTTTCTCCCTTGGTGGGAAAGTTATTTACCCACCTAGGAGATGGGTAAGTGATACCTAGGACAATAAATTTTCCTTGGTCCCCACATAAATTTGAAAAAAGAACATGAGATTCTTGGTCAATGAGAACTAAAATCTCTTTGACCAACTTTCCCCCCTCTCAAAATTGGAAAAAGAACGCCCCCTTGGAAGAAAAAAAAATTAGTTTGATGGCTGACATCATTTGGGTATAGTCAATTTGTTTTATATTGTTTGTAAAAATTTTGATTTACTTTTGCTTCAAATTTGATATTGTCTTGTTTGTTTGTAAAAATTGAAAAGCAAGATACGAAATAAAATAGTTTGGACCCACTTTATATGCAAGAGAATGGAGTAGCAAGAGGATCAATTCATTATTTGTTTGCCACTTGTGAGGTAGGAAGCAAGAAGGTGGGCTTTGATGCAATGGTTGGGTTGCTCCATAACAATCTGGGTGACCAAGGTTCAAATATTGGAAACAGCTTTTTTGTATGTAAAGGGGTAAGGTTACCCTGCATTGACGAGAACCTCCTCCACATTGTTAGCAGGTACATAAGGCAAAAAGTAAAAAAAAATTGTGTCTAAAATCACATGATTACAAACAAATAAATGCAAAGCTGAACTGGGTGCAAAATTTATATCAGCTACGCAACGGGAAACAAAATTTAAGTCCTTTTCGATGAAAATAAATTCCTAAACAGCATAGCATTAGCATGGTCGATGGTTACAAGTATCAGAGAATATAACAATGATGCCAATACTCACTTTATGTAAACGACAATGCAACCTTCCATACGGCAACATGATGATTGGAGGCTTGGAGTTTACTAGGGGTATCAATTGGACTGGATTTGGTCCAATCCCATCTAGTTTAACGTGAATCCATTACAAATGGATCAGATCCAATCCAATCCAATGAATATTTTAGACCATTTTGGACAGTTTAATATGTTTAGATTTGTTTTAATTTAGATTGGTTCCAATCCAAACCTGGTCCATTGACACTTGTATTCTTATCTTCTATCAATGAATCGGATATTGACTCAATCCAACCCAGTCCAATATAAATTCATTATGGATGGACCAGGTCCAACCCAATACAATCCAATAAATATTTTGAACCATTAAGTCTGGACTGGTCCAATTCAATATGTCTTGTTGATCCGTCCAACCCAATCCAATATGAATTGATTTTAGTTTGGACGGGGTCCAACCCAAAACTGGTCCATTGACAGTTTGACACCCTAGGAGCGACCAGTGTTCAATGAAAACGAAATGGGCTTACATATGGCCCCCTCCACTCCACAAGACCTCATCACATGTTGAAAATAAGTCAGCGTCTGCTTACGTTTATATATAATAGAAAATTAAAAGGGTAAATTGCTGAAACCATCCCTGAAGTTTGGTAATTGCAATCAACTTCCTTGAATTTTCCAACATAGTTGAAAGTAGACCCCCTCTACTAGAATCATTTAATAGGAGGCATGAAAATGTCCAAAATACTCATGCGGTTACTTCTCACAAAATGTTTATTTTCCAAATTTTCTCTTCATATAAATTGTTACTCCAAACCCTTCCAATCTCTTTTTCCATATTGATTTATTTTCCAAATTTGCTCTTCATATCAATCACTCAAAGGTAAAACAGCAACTTTAAATTCTCCTGTTTTTTGTTATTCATAAATTAAGTTTGTATTGTTTTTTCTATAGAGACGGGCCTCAATGGTAATTATATGGGTATTTTGGATATTTTCATGTCTCTTATTAGAAGATTCTAATTACAACTGTATCAAAAAGTTGGGAGGTGATTGCAATAATGCAATTACCAAACTTTAGAGAAGTTTCATCAATGGTCAGAAACTTAACTTTAGGGAGGTTGTAACAATTTACCCAAATTTAAAATACAATAAGTAGCTATTTATTATTGATTGGGCAATAATAGATTTCCATGCAATGCTGTGATTGAAGTAGTAGAGAACAGTCAAAAAGAAAAATGAATATCTCAAACTCAAAGACCCATCATCAGCAACTATTTATCAAAAAAAAAAAAGAAAAAAAGAAGAAGACATGTCTTCCCTCCATTAATGATCTAATCTAATCAAGCGTAATTAACTTGGGTGAGGATGATCCCCACTGATCACACCAACCTGGTATTTCTACGGCTAATCATATATTGTACAAATTAAAGAAAGGGAGAAGTATATAATATCCTTTGAACACATATTCAATTCCCCTCATGGCCATTCATCAGTATCAAGAAATGAAGCTATGGATCCGAGATCCATGGCAAAATTCTGTTGAAGACAACCATTTGCATTTAACTCCTCGGGCAGCATGGGTTCATCCAACAGTAGTAGAGAACAGTCAGAAGTCCCCGACAAGGTGTTATTGTCCCTTGTCAAATTTAAATTATGGCCAACTTGAAGATCACGCAGAAAATCAGATTCATGATGATGAGAGTAAGGTGCACAGAAGTCTCCAGATCCATCGGTAGTGTTGGTCGTCAGATTAAGGTTATCCTGGTGTGGAGCTGTCACCGAGTGGGTCTGATGGGGATGAATCAATGGGATCATTGGCATTGAGTCCTTCACTTGGTTATTTTGTAGAGAAGATGAGAATGCAGCGGCGGCCTGACTCGGTGGGGGCATAAGGACTTTGGTGCATTTCATTGCCTTGGTTCGGATTACATGTGGTTTAGTCCTCAGGGGGCCCGGCGGCGGCCTGACCGGAGTTGGCTTTTCCTTGGGCTTGGTGCTTATTGTTCGTCTTTGATTTGGATTTGATGGTGACAAACATGATTTGGCTTGAGCCTTCTTTCCTAAAGTTGTGTTCCAGTAGTTTTTGATTTCATTGTCTGTTCGCCCTGGTAATCTTCCTGCTATTAGGGACCATCTACAGATTACAGAGAAATTAATCCGTCAATTATATTATATATCAAAAGTCGCATATATAGACAGATGGAGGAGGAAAATTAAACCAAGGTACCTGTTCCCAAGAAGATTATGAAGTCTGATGATGAGCTCTTCTTCATCCTCTGATATATTTCCTCTTTTGATATCTGGTCTCAAATAATTCAACCATCTAAGTCTACAACTTTTGCCACATCGTTTTAAGCCTGCACTTGGAAAGAAATCTCTTAGTTATTGGATCAAGTAGTAATTAAGAGGAAAGGGGGGGGCTAACTTCTTATGAAAATTAATGCATACTTAATTAATTAGAAGGAGATATATAGTTTAAATTAGATTTAATGGCCAGTACGTAGTTGAGGGGAGAGAAAACAATTAAACAAGCAAGAAAGGAGAAGAAGATGAAATGTAGAAGAATAGAGAGAGAACCCAGAAAATAAGAAAAGCTGAAGAAACGTACCAGCTCTCTTGGGAAGGCTCCTCCATTTGCCTTCTCCATGAGCTTTAATGTAAGCTATAAGGATTTTATCTTCTAAGGCAGTCCAGGCTCCTCTGTTCAGTCCTTCCTTGGAGCAACACGGACTTCTTCCCATCTTTGTTTCTGTGCCTCAAATTGTTATGAATTTCTCTGTATGTACAAATATAAATAGACGGAGAAACCCGTGAGCCCTTTTATAATCACACGATTCACACCCTGGAGGCTGCAGCCACCGGTCTGCGGTCTTCTTTCTTTGAAAATAGTAGAAAAGGACAAACTTTAATAATAATAGGCGCTTTCTCGCCTATTGGCTAAAGCTTGTCTGGACCTGCTTTGCCTTTGAGAAAACAAGAAACCATCTGCTCCTCACACGCACAYCCTATCATATATTGGAAACATTTCCTATATTTATATAGGAAATATAAATATATTGAAACGCCCATTCGTGAGGAGCACGATCCTGTGTAATGATCTGGTGGGTAAAAGACTTAAACATACCCACTCTTTATATAAATTGACCTGCATACCCTAAGTTTGTAAGATGGACTTAAAATACCCTCTATCTTAATGTTACATCACATCCAAATTCATTTAAACTTTTTTAAATTCCTATTTTGTCCTATACCTTCCATTCTGGGACTTTGTGGCTGCCAGATAATCAATCCTGTGTTGCTGATCATAATTAAGGAAAGGAAATCGTCAGTCTCCTTCTGCTAAAATTAGGGGAGAACATTTTCCTAATTAACCATGCATTGTTGTTTTGATGATCTCGTGATTCATCTATTTATCAAGCAATGTAGATTGAAACTTGTTCCTCTTTCTCAGATAAAAATAAACAATAACCTTGGAGTGCAATTCAAAAAGGAATTAACCGTTTTGTTTCTTCTAATAATAAGATGAAATCTTCCAGCAGTCACAAAATCCAAAAACAAGTGCTTGAGGTTAGTTTGTATTCTTCTAATCTAAAAAAACTTCATGGTCCTGCTACCAATGACTTCTATAAATCCAGTGGCTGGGTTAAATCTACGAATGAGTTGACGAGTTTAGACATTAGAGACACCAAAATGAAGTATCTGAGGTGTTCTGAACGAGGACATAATCAGATAGTCCTGTCAATTGGATGAGGCCGAGGTGGAAGGACGAAGTCGTGCACCGAAATCTGCAACTAAGAGAAAGGTCAGAGGCTCAAGGAGTTGTTTCCTGGGTAGGTATTCTGACACTCACTTCGCAGCTCCTCACCTTGGGAGCCCCAGCATCAGGCCACGTCGACACCACGCATAACGAAAGAGCATGAATAAAGAGTGTCCTACACAAACAAGGAAGTGGACTTTGTTAGGGAAGATGAAACCTCCCGAAAACCTCAGCGGACGCCCTCATCTCAACAATCCCATAAGCCCTATCCATTTGGGACACAAACACCCAACTATAAATAGGTATTCCTCGCTCGAGATAAGGGACTTTTGGAAGAACACTTTTTGAATACCTCTTTGCATTATCTCTTCGGCTATGACCAATGGTATTTCAACTTRCTCATCCCGACCACATCTTTCTCTACCCTACTGACTTGAGCAATGGAGTACCTACTTGGGGAACAACTCCTCGGGCCTCTAACCATTCTCCTAGTTGTAGATCTTGGTGCACGGCTTCGTCCCTCCACCTCGGCCTCGTTTAGTTGGTAGGACTAGCTGATTGTATCCTCGGTTCGGAACACCTTGGATCGGACAACATCAGATTGGCACTGTCTATGGGAAATGAACAAAAAGTCTTTTCTCAAACCCCTCCCCCTGCACTAAAAGCAATCATGCCTAAGAATACATCCAACCACTTTGGAACCCGTTCCCCATCTCGGGAATCCCGCTTATTTTGCAGCTCTCCACCTCGGAAGCCCCAACATAAGGCCATGTTAATGCCACGCGTAACGGAAGAGCATGACTAAGAAGGAATGTCCTACATGAACAAGGAAGCGGACTTCGTTGGGGAAGAGGAAACCTCCCGAAGACCTTGACGGACGCCTTCATCTTGACAACCTCAGAAGCCCTATCCATCTAGGACACAGACACCCAATTATAAATAGGTATTTGCCGCTTGAGATAATGAACTTTTGGAAGAACACTCTTTGAATACCTCTTTGCATTATCTCTTTGGCTTAGACCAATGGTATTTCAACTTGCTTGTTTCGACCACATCTTTTTCTACCTTACTGACTTAAGCGTCGTAGTACCTACTCGGGGAACAATTTCTCGGGCCTCTGACCTTTCTTCTGGTTGTAGATCTCGATACACGGCTATCTTTCCATCTCGACCTCGTCTAGTTGATAGAACTATCTGATTGTGTTCACGATTCAAAACACCTTGAATCAGACAACAAGTATGTTTAAGTGTGATGATGATGAAGACAATATATCGCACCATAACGTTTTTCTATCTTGATAAGATGATGAGAATGATAGGAAGTGGGGAGTAACTAATGAAATTCTGTTTGGTTGCATGCATACATATATGTGGAAGATTTTTCCCACCATGCCTAACTTTGTCTTATATAATTAGTAAATAATCAGCACTACTACATGCTCATCATTTTTTGGCAAAATATATAATAAAAGCTATGTTCAAAAGATTACTTGTGAATCCTAACCACATTATATATGTTGAGTGGGAGCGATTAGTTAGGGCACAAACCTGATGAAAAGACAAAGAAATTAAAGCAACCACTTATTTTTCTTTTTGTTATATATTATATTGCACTTAATTCTTTTTGACAGAGAGATCAACTATCACATTCTATATGGTAGTAGACTAATAGTGTGATAATCATATTCTATATAACTAATTAAGTGTGATAATATATAACGGGATGCTGCTGCTACTGTTGCTACTAATGAGGTAATAGGATGCTTCTATAAGTGTGATTTTTAAATTTTAATTACTGTGCTTGGGTTATTTTCTTTCGTTTCATAGATGCTTTCGCTTAATGAATGAGTGGGAATGGATCACATGATCGAGCTCCTTTGTGGGTCTTAATTTTCAGTAGCATTAATAAATTCCTGTTCAGGGAGCTCATCACACGAGTTCCATATTCCATCCAAGACATCATAGTTGTCCAATGGAGGTTGGGTGGAGGCATACAGTAAATAAGTTGATAACAATGAAATGACAACAAAAGCAGAGCAGAAGGGTCCAAGAAAGGATCACTTTTGCTGTTTGGAAAAAAATAAACAGCCTGAAAGTGAAGGGAAGGGCGGAAGGGCCGTTAAAGTCATTTTCGTGCGAAAGTTAGAAAGATGAGCCCCTGGGCCCTGGCAAGCGAGAAGTATCACCTCATCGGCTCCTCCAACAATCCTTTCTGTTTTTCAAATAAGGCTATGTTTGTTTTATGTGTAAATTCAAATTTACACCAATAAAAAAATATGAACCAATTTAGTGATAGATGAAAATTGGAATAAGTTGTTTTTGAACATTTACACCAATCATATTTGGTTGTCAAGATGTATATTTTGATGATTTTTTTTTTTTTTTTTTGTCAGCATTTGAAATAGAGGTTGGTGTAAAAATCTTGTGGATATGGAAGTGGGAAAAATCTGTGGGTAGGAAATCTAGAGTATTCTAAACTTTGATGGAGGGAGTCCAAATCACTTGCCAACAAAATACATTCCACCAATATGATCTGATACCACACATCTCATACTGGCAGGTCCCACTTTTATAGTGGGTTTCAGTCTCATAGTAAGGTGTGTGGTGTTAGATCAAGTTGATAGGGGGAACGTGTTTTGTTGGCAGGACATATCCCTGCATGGATGGAGGGCGGCTTAGTCCTAGCTAGCACGGAATCCATGATGTTGTTGGGCATGTGTGGCTGGAATTTGCCGTAYTCTATTGAATTAGGCTAGCTGGTAGTTAAGGGTGGCAATAGGGCAGGTTTGGGAAGAGTTTTGTAAATTCTAGGCCCTATATGTCTTATTAGGCCTCCCAACCTGTACCCCCGCCCCCCGCCCTCTCTACACGTGAAAACGCAAAACCCTCCCCAACCCTATCCTTCTTGCAATTGAGAGCGGGGTGGGTTAGATTGACTGTTTGGGTCAAGAACCCACATCTAATTCCCATTATTTCCTGTTATATGTAAACAATAAATAAGTAAAATAACATAAACAAACATCCCAATTTCCAATTATTTGATTAAAACATGCAAATAATAAAAACTAACAATTATTCTTTATATAAAATTCAATATATTATTAAATATGATACTTAATACATAAATTCAAATGCCTTAACATTACCCTACCAGTACTGATATGAGTTCTAAAATCTCATAACCCGTTCCTGCTCCAAAATCCTATTTTAAAGCAAAAGAAAAAAAAAAAAATCCACCCTAGCATGACGAGTAGTAAGGGCGGATTCCCAGCAGATAGATAGGATAGAAATTCACATTGTCTCATACCATGATGCAGTGGAGCTGGGGGTTTGACGTAATTTACATAAATCATAGAATCATATATAGGAGGTGAAGCCGTGAATGGGGGCTACTCACTCTTTCAGTTTGTTTGCAACGCAATTTAATATACTTCAATTGGTCCAGAAGTATGGAAATGCAAAATAGTTGAATGGCATATATATATTTTTTTTGTTTTAAATTTTACTTTTTCTTGTTTATTTATGGTGTACATGAAGCAATATAAAACCTAAAATAAAGTAAAATAAAGCCATAAGTAAAAATACTGGATTTTAATTATACGTTTTGATGATTTGCACTCTCATGCATTTGTATTATTAATATTGCAAATGAAATTGCATTGCAAACAAATGGATACCTCATAATAATCAAATTAAATGCGGCCCTTATTCATTTAACAAATTATATTCAAATACATAGTTGAAAACTCAAGATAAATTCCCCCGCTTTTAGCATAGGAATCCGAACTGCCAGTCTAAGTCCATTTGGCCACCGGCCTGTAGCTTGTTTATGGCTAAGCCGGCAGTTGCATGACCGTTGGCTTTGATATTTCTTTTATTTTTATACTAGTTTAATTTCATAACAAAAATCTCAATTTAATACCTGTTTAATACAAATCTCATAACAATTGATACATAAAAAACAATTTAAATAAAAATGCAATTAAAAACAAAATCTATTAATTGAATTTTTAATTATTATAAT